TAATTTATGTAGTATAGACCATTCATTTGGACATTTGACAAGACTTAGCATAGATTCCTGTGTGAATAATGGTGCCAGATATGTATTTCATAGAGTTAAATCCAATCAGAATGCTATTGGTTACTCATATGATGTTAGGGCCACTATTGTACCAGTCATAATGACTTACAAGGCCAGTTGTTATCATAGCTAGTAGGAATCACAGCTAGGTAAAATTGGTAATTTTCACTTCCTATACCATGCATAACACTTTCCACGACTTTCATAGTTAGCTACTAGGGATGTAGCTTCCAGTTCAGTGCCAGCTTGATTTCTCCTTGTTGTTTTACTCTGGTATGCACTCTCTTCCGCAATATGGTCTTAAAGCACATTAAGGTCTGGAGGGTAAATGGTAACACTGGCAATAGACTGTAAATGTTCAGGGGTGTATGAGATGTTCACTCTAATGTTGCTCTCCAATTTCCCAATCAGTTTAGCACTCCCTGGCCTATTATTTCCCTTTTATCATTTACACCACTGTGTTCTACCCTCCCTCCCTTAAAGCCACCCTCAATAAAGACTACTTACTAATTTATAGACCTCTATGGATATTCCAAATGAAACATACAATTCTGTAGATTCAAAACTAAAATATATCAAATGAAAGACTGCATGGGAAATTTCTCTTTCTGAGTCTGGATTATCTCACTCAGAATGATTTTTTTCTAGTTCTAGACATTTGCCTTCTAATTTCATTTTTCTTAACAGTTCATTAATATCCCATTGTGTAAATACACCACCCTTTCAATCTTTACTCTTAGTTTATCAGCATCTAAGATGTGTACATTTCATGGCTGTTGTGTATATAACAGCAATGAACACGGCTGTGTAGGCATTTCTATAGTAGGATATAGGGGCTTTTATTATTACTCAGGTATGGTATTGCTGGATCATATGGAAGCTATATTTTCAGCTTTTTGATGAACCTCCAGTGTCCACAATGATTCTCAGTGAGTTAAGTCAAAAACAGAAAGAAACACATTTGTAGACACTAGCTTTGAATTTTTATGTGTGTGTTTATATTAGAGTATCTATACATGTCAGAAAACTAGTAAGTTTGTATGGGAGATAACTTAAGGGAAGTAGGATACAATGTAAATACTAAGAAGGTGAAAGAGAAATAATGGGACAGGAAAATTAAAATAGATTGGCAGATAGGAGAACAAGATAGAACAGGGAGTATGTAGAGGGGTAACTAAAACTATAGATTTTGAACATGTCTCCTGGAAACCTATAACTTTAGAATATTATTAAAATATGCACAGGTGATACCTAGAGAGAAGAATGAGAAAATATAAAAGATCTTGAAAATTGGGAGGAACGCTATACTATGAACATGAGATAGCTGGTGTGGACAAGAATTCAGAGAAGCTGTCATTCCATATACACTACATGTGATCACACTACATGTGATCAAGAAAGCATAGAGAATGGACAGAGTTAGAAATGCCAGCCTTTTTTTGATGAGTTATTGGCAAGTGGTGGTCTTTGGGGAAGGAGAGTCATATTTCTTTATGTCTGTGTCAATATGTAATTCCTCATATACCAATGAATGACACCACACTCATGCCTTTATAGTAACACTAATATTGGACTCAGTGGCTAAATATACACAGGTAAATTATGATAAAAGAAGGGTATGAAATAGCAATAAAGATATAATTATGGTTTTGAGAGGAGTAGGGGCAGAACAGGAAAGAATGTAATCAAGATACATTACATTTAGAATAAAATTTTAAAACACAAATTTTTTAAAAGAATATGAATAATTTTCATATTATATTGAGGTGATGATAAATGAAGAACTAAAGTAAACCAAAGGATAGTCATTGAAAAAATGCACGTGTAAAAAAAAGGCTTTCCTCCTTTGAATATCACATTTTTACAATTTTAAATATTTTCTATTTGATTATATAAGACAATTTCAATGCAAGTATGGAAATATATTTTGGACACATCTGGTCCCATTCTAAAATATAATTCATTTTTTCTCCACTCCCTATCATGATAGCTCACTTTGTTTCCATAAAGAATATTATTTTGACTTATATAACATCTGGTCCTCTAATAATACAGGAGTTTATCTAAGTTTGTGAAATTTTGGACTATCAAATGAAAGAACATATATTTGCCTATTTAGAACTGACTTAATGCATTCAATGTGATTATCTCCAAGTGCATCCATTTTCTTGAAAATAACATCTGGTCTGTCTTATTAGAAGTTTTAGAAAATTCCACTTGGAATATAAACCACATAATGGTTTGTATCTATTTTGTGTGTTTATGGTCATTTATGGGAGGGATTTCTTTTCAGTAAGAGGGACTAGCTCTAGTCAGCAACAGAACTTAATCATGCAATAAATTAGAGGGTTATAAGGTTATAATAGTTCCATCTTCTAATCCTTTTGGATTTATGGAAAAAAAAGAACAGGAATGGAAATCAGGATAAAGTGAAATGAAATAAACATTCCAGGAACTGTAGACCTTTCATTGCTTGTTATTTAACTTTAGCCAGTAGGGGATGAAAGGAGAATACTAACTAGTATGAAAGAGATGTCTAATTATGTATCTTCCAGAGAAGGCTTTAGAGACACAGAAAACAGAGCATATAGGGGTGACTGAGATGATGCTAAGACAACTAGAAGTCAGTAGAGCAGTTTGAAGACAGTTGGAGAGAAATCAGGAACCATTCTATACTTGTATCCTAAGATACATTGGATTTTTCAAAAAACATCACAGTGCACAGGGGCCATGCTAATCTTCTCTGTTCCAAACTTCTGTATCATTCCAATTTTAGTATGTGTGCTGCTAAAGAAACTGGGAGGTACCCTTGAACAAATTGGTAAAGGAGACCATTTCCTGAACATAACTCCGGTAGCACAGACACTGAGATTGACAATTAATAAATGGGACCTCCTCAAACTGAGAAGCTTCTGTAAGGCAAAGGACACAGTTGACAAGACTAAACGGCAGCCCACAGACTGGGAAAAGATCTTCACCAATCCTCCATCTGACAGAGGGTTGATCTCCAAAATATACAAAGAACTTAAGAAACTAGTTACCAAAACACTAAATAACCTTATTAAAAAATGGGGTACAGATCTAAAGAGAGAATTCTCAATAGAGGAAATAAAAAGAGCTGAAAGACACTTAAGAAAGTGCTCAGCATCCTTAGCTATCAGGGAAATGCAAATAAAAATGACTCTGAGATACCATCTTACTCCTGCCAGAATGATTAAAATTAGGAATACCACTGACAACTTATGCTGGAGAAGGTGTGGAGAAAGGGGAACACTCCTCCACTGCTGGTGGGAGTGCAAACTTGTACAGCCATTTTGGAGATCACTATGGCGGTTCCTCAGGGAAATGGAAATCAGTCTACCACAGGACCCGGCAATCCCACCCTTAGGCATATACCCAAATGATCTACATCCATGCAACAAAGACATCTGTTCAACTATGTTTGTAGCAGCATTATTTGTAATAGCAAGAATCTGGAAGCAACCTAAATGCCCCTCAACTGAAGAATGGATAAAGAGAATGTGACACATTTACACAATGAAATACTACTCTGCGGAAATATACAATGTAATCTTGAAATTCACAGGCAAATGGATAGAATTTGAAGAAACCATCCTGATTGAGGTAATGTGGTCACAAAAAGAGGAATGTGATATATACTCACTCATATATGGATTTTAGACTTATAGCAAAGGATCACCAGCCTATAATTCACACTGCCAGAGAACCTAGGATACAAGAAGGATTCTAAGAGATTCATACAAGGTCCCTCACAGAAGGGGAAAGGAACAAGATCTCCTGAGCATATTGGGAGTGGGGGGGCAGTGAGTGGAGAAGGGTCTAGAAGAAAGGGAAGGGGAGGAGAGGAAAGCATGTGGGACTAGGAAGATTGAGTCTGTGGGGGAATAGATGAGAGGAAAGAGAAAGAGAGAGAGAGAGAGAGACCATAAAGAGGGAGCCATTATAGGTTTGAAGAGAAAATTGAATCTAGAGAAATGTCCAAAGACCTACAAGACTGACCCCAACTAACAATTTGAGCAACAGTGAAAAGGCTACCATAAATGCCCTTCCCTGATGATAAGATTGATGACTAACTTGTCCACCAACATAGAGCCTGCATCTAGTTGCTATGTAAACAGAAGCAGACACCCATAGTTAAACACTGAGCTGAACTGGAATCCAGATCCAGATAGGCAGGACAATACCAGGCTACAGAAACCCACTGAGACAGTTGACCTGAACCAGGAGGAGCTAATGGGCCCCCAGACTGATAACTGGAAATCCAGCATGGACTGACTCAGACCCCCCCTGAACATGGGTCTCAGTTAGAAGGCCTGGGCAGGCTAAGGGATCTCTCAGACAGTGCAACTAGGATGTATCCCTGATGCACAAAAAGACTTTGGGAGCACATTCTTCATGGAGGTATACTCCTTTAAACTAAAGACAGGAGGGAGGGCCTAGGCCCTAGTGCAAATGGCTTGATAGTTTTAGATGATCCCTCCAGGAGGGCATCACCCTACATGTGGAGCCGGCAAGGGCAAGGGGGCGATTAGATGTGAGGGTGGTTGGGGGGCATAGGAGGGTGGAAGAGAGGGAGGGAGGGATAGGTAACTGGGATTGATATGTAAAATAAGAAAAATAAATCACAATGCTAGGGAAATGTAGTTCCCTTGAACTTGTTTTGCAATGTCAGGATACTTTCATTATGGATCTCCAGAAATCCAAGTTTTGGAATAGGCTAAATATGGAGAGATGTGAAAGCTGTCTCCCTTAGATTCTAATAACTTTATATACATTTATATTCCCTAATGGTTAAATTAGCTCTGAAATATATTAGTAGCATGCCTAACTTGTGTTATTTGTGAAATATGTGATGGGATGAATAGATTTTTTTTAATTAAATGAAACAGAGCAATGGTGACCAATTGGCTTCTCAGATGTTTTTGTATATGAAGTCAGTTTTTATTTTAAAAGAAGATAACCATCACACCAGCATGCATTCAAAACAAAAGCAGCTAAAGGAAGTTTTACATCAACATGTCATCTAGCAGCACATCAGAAAGAGATGTAATGGAAATGGCTTAGCAGTTGTTTTGTTTTAATACTTTGCACTTCACGATCTTGAGAGAAGTTTCAACCTTATGAGCATTTTTGCCTGCGCAGCGGATGAGATTATAAAATGCAAAATGGCGAACGTCTTCAATGTTGGACTTCAAAGAAGCCAGTCCAGACCAAGCAGGGTAGCTCTCTTTTCTAGCATCTCTACTTTGAATCTGATCATCAAAAGGAGAGTCAATGATCAGTTATATTTTAGTATTTGGGGATGCATAACTTTTTAAAATGTGGAATGAATACTCGAGAGGAGTAAGGATTGCTAAACTCAGCTAAACCAATGGATTTTCATGAGAATTGAACCAAAGTATCAAAAATGTGTCAAATCATATCAGGCATTTTCTGCCTGATAAATTAAGTATTGTAGAAGTTGTGGAATGGACTGACAGGATTTTACTTGAATTCAGACATGGGTTTGAGAAAAGTACAAGGAAAGATCCAGTGTCCATTCAATCTCTTAAGTAATGTTACGTGTCTTTAACACAGTTCCTGACTTGTCTTTTTTCCTCAATGGGTTCTTACATTGAAACATTATTCTTATTTCCAACTAAATCAATACTTCATATGGTGTATACACACCAAACCTGTGACTCAGTGGCCCATGACAGTTTAAGATGCAAATAGTCAATGGATGACCATTCTAAGATACCTGTCCAAGTGTCTGAGTGGTTCATACTTGGACAATGAAGGGTCCTGACCCAATATAATTGTTGAGCAGATGTTTTCTTCTGAGGTCCCGGGGATGTCAAATTCTGAGTTAAACACCCTTTAGGTAGTTAGAATTACCAGCCTCCCTTTAAATTGTGTGTTAGTGATACATTTCAGTGCCTACAGTTCTCTTTTGTAAAGAAACATTTTTCAAAACTCAATTCTCCTTGCCCAGTCTATTAGGAAGAACCTGGTCTATTAGGAAGAACAGTAAAGAAGTATAAATAGACTGCTCACGTGGTTGAGAATACTCCTGATCCCCTCCAGGAGTCCAGCGTTCTTTTGCTCAATCTCTCTGGCTTTTGACAAGATAGTAGCAGGGACATCTTCCAAGGAAGACATTTCTTTCACTAGATGGTACAGAGGGACTTTCCAGGCAGCCAATAAGCTTTCCACTAATTTCAGTAGTACGGCTGGCTAAGTAAACATATATGAACAATCACATTATAAAATAAGTGAAAAATAACGGTGTTACACAAGACAGTTTTTTTTTTCTCCAAATGGTGTAACAAGTTTTGTTTGTTATTTCTGTGTGTGTTTAAAACATTCTTTTGTAAATTATATAAGGATATGAAATATTGCCATTGACCTTGTGTTATAATACTTGAGTGGGCCAGGTGGTGGTGGCGCACACCTTTAATTCGAGCACTCAGGAGTCAGAGGCAGGTGAATCTCTGTGAGTTCAAGGCCAACTTGGTCTACAAAGCTATACAGACAAACCCTGTCTTGAAAAACCAACCAACCAACAAACCAACCAACCAACCAAACAAACAAACCAAACCCAAAACTTGAGTGGATTGAATTCAGAAATGTCAGTAGAGCATTTCAAAGTTGTTAGCAAAGTAGTACCTTTTATTAAATGTATTCTCAACTCTATTTTTCTCACTTTCCTTATTTAATTTATCATTATTATAATAAGAGTTGTAGAGACACTGTATTTTTTTTTCTATTAAATAACACATGGAATATGCATTTTAAGTGTAGGGTTGTGTAAGGATATATAATGATGTTCAATTAAAATTACTTTTAGATAATTTATGCCAAGAAATCAGAGTGAAGGATGATAAAGATCAGGAATTAAAGGATACATGCATCATATGTAGCCTTGTCAGCATGCAGTGGGGATGGTTACACACTGTGGAACATTTTATAAATGTCATCCTTCAGATGAATTTTAGGTGACATGGGTAAAGGAGGAATCAGTTAAGAATCAACATTTAGGATCATAAACAAGTAAAAAACAGAGATACCAAGAATAAATTAGGAGTGAGTTAGTAATGTATAGAGCTTTCAACACAGGGTCCATACAATTACATTGGCATCACATAAATCCACATTTCTGCACTTAACAATGAATGTTAATTACAATTTAATTTTTCTCTATAGAAACGATCTATTTTGTAAACCCTTAAGGTTTGGCACTGAAAGAGGGTCCTTCCCATAAGGGATTTATTTAACTTTGTTAAAAGTTACTTGGCAGATATTTCTTACAATTTATGAACCACATAGTAAAATTTCCTTTTGTTATTCATTCCCTGACAATTTCTGTTAGATATGACTCCCATACTCAATATATTGACTCTACTAATTATAGTATGACAAAGCACGTGTATGGATTTGGAGAAAGAAATGCCATGGGTGGGAACTCACATGTGTGTGCAGGGCTTTACTCCTGGGTTTAGGAAGATGAAGAGAAGATGTGTGGCATTTTTTGAAGTTCTTCTTAATGAGCTGCTGGCTCTGGGCATAGTGATAATCCTGGAGTTGATAAAATAGGTAATTGTGTAAATGAATCAACACACTAATGCACTTGATAGATATTTCATTTTTAAAATAAAATATTAAAACTGAAATTAATATATAAGGAAATGAGCCACTCAATTACATTTTACATTTAATCTGTAGTCTTATTTTCTATTTATATAACTTTCAACTTTCCCATACTCCCTCCTATTTAATATTCCTAGCCTTCCTATTCAACAAAAACAAGCAAGGTTACCAAGTACCAATGTTTTTAAAGTATCATTTGTAACAAATACCATGATAAACTTTTCTTGCAAATACCTTGATTGTCATCTACACAAGTATCCCTCATTTAGTTCATTAGGACCACAAAAAGGTATTGTATTGATTATATCAAAACAAGTAATAACCTTATGAAGAATATACTAGAAAATATTAAGTCGAGAACCAATTAAAATAGGAAATTAATTGATGTTTGTATGTTAATCAATATTTAATAACTTGTTACGTATTTTATGTGTTATTGTGTAAAATACTTATTCAAAACTACTATCAATGACATATTTGGTAGCTTGAATGGATTTTTAGGATGATTATGAATGGTCTAGGTGATCCATCAAGAAATATAAATGGCAGAAACAATAATATGCAAAGTGAATGTTAGGAATATATAGGTTTTTCAAGATTCACATACTATTTTTTCTGTCATTTACATTACCTGATGGGTTACCTAGAGCATTCACATTGAGCCAACTTCTTACAAGTCTGTTATCATACAGATGTTTGTCATTTCATCAATTGGATTAGATCATGTACCACAAAGCTCTAAAGATAACTTCATCATGAATACCTGACATATTTTTCTGCATCAGACACCCTTGTTATTAAATCATGTCTGTATTAGTTTAAAATTATTTATTATACTTGTGAATATGAAGAATGAATATTAATTTTCTTTTTCTCCTGACATATCGTCAATGTTGTTAACTTTGTATAATGTTTGTGAGTCACTGTTCTTCATTAGATAATACAGAATCTAAAGTTGAATAATGAAAACAAAGACTAGCCTACCTAACACAATGAAAGAGAATCAAACCTTTCTCCAGCTTGTCTTACGTGTATTTATGTCATGATAATGAATTAAAATAAAAATTTTTAAATTGAGAAAACTAAAATTATATTTGACAAGTATCTGACATTTCATTAGACTACCCTATTTTCTGGTTTCACAATATCATAGCCCCTATTTTTGTTTCCTGCCTATGAAGTTATTTTTTTTGTACTTTGGATCATGATGTTTTACACTGTAGGTTATACTATAACCTATTTTAATAAAAGAGGGGTTTGGTAGGAAGTCGGGAGTCAGGGGGCAGTACTTACAAATTCAATGAACATTTCAAATGCTTGTTTATTCATTTTCTGAGACAAACTGACAGCTCTATCAAGAAATTCTCCCATAGGAGCAAAGCAGCGCCCATTACGCATTATACAGGTGGGCAATGAGGACACATCTTCCCACATGAGCAGGCTAGACATCAGTAGTAGAAGCAGTGTCCCTGTTAAAGGAGAATAATGACTCTGAGATCTAGTAATATGAGTTTACCAACAGTGACACTATCAAAAGAGGTCACTTTGCTAACAGTGGCCTCCTTTATGCAAATTGTTAGATTTAATTTGTGAGATTAATGAACATTTTCCAATGAGGGTATTCAATTAGAGGATTACACTTCCCCTTATTTATTTGTTGTATTACGAGTGTCTCTCCTGAGGCTTTTTGTTGTAGCAGGTTGTTAGCATTCTACACAGCTGCACATTGATAATACAGGCATTAAGAAGCTGATTCCTCACAGAAGGGAAAAGGAACAAGATCTCTTGAGCTTATTGGGAATGAGGGGGCAGTGAGTGGAGAAGAATCTAGGAGAAAGAGAAGGGGAGGAGAGGAAAGCATGTGGGACTAGGAAGGTTGAGTCAGGGGAGGAATAGACGAGAGGAAAGAAAAGGAGAGAGAGAGACCATAAAAGGGAGCCATTATAGGTTTCAAGAGAAAATTGATTCTAGAGAAATGTTCAGAGACCTACAAGACTGACCCCAACTAACATTTTGAGCAACTGTGGAAAGGCTACCATAAATCCACTTCCCTTATAATAAGATTGATGACTAACTTATCCACCATCATAGAGCCTGCATCTAGTAGCTGATGGAAACAGAAGCAAACATCCACAGTTAAACACTGAGCTGAACTGGAATCCAGATGCAGTCAGGGAGGACAAGACCAGGCTACAGAAACCCACTGAGACAGCTGACCTGAACAAGGAGGAGCTAATGGACCCTCAGACTGATAGCTGGGAATCCAGCATAGAACCGATTCAGACCTCCTGAACATGGGTCTCAGTTAGAAGGCCTGGGCAGTCTAAGGAACTTCTGGCAGTGGAACCAGGATGTATCCCTGGTGCACAAAAGGACATTGGGAGCACATTCCTCACTGAGGGATACTCCCTTAACCTAGAGGCAGGAAGGAGGATCTAGCCCCTACTCCAAATCTCCAAATGACTTGACAGATTTTGTTCACTCCTCCTGGAAGGCATCTCCTTCCCCGTGGAGTGAGGGGGGGAGAGGGGGTTGGGATGGGTGGGTGGTTGGGGGGCATGGGAGGGAGGGAGGAAGGGAGAGAGGGAATGATAGAGGGAGGCAGGGAGAGGGAACTGGGATCAATATGTAAAATAAGAAAAATAAATAAAAAATACTGTAATGTGAAAAAAAGAAGCTGATTTTATATTCTTTACTTTGGGTAACAGTTATGAAATGTTTTGTAATGAGGTGTATTGGTATGATAATTTATTTTTTTAAAAAAATGGCAAAAAGGAATCATAACATGCTGATAATTTATAGTTACAATACTATGAATATCAATGTATAAAAATGGAAAGTTATACACTTTCAGTGACATGAGTCTGAAAAACCTTCTAATCCCCAGAAGCTTTGATAAATGCAGTTGGAAATGTACTTCAGAAATTTAGAAACTTAGTAAGATTTATACATGGAAAACACATAAAGTAACCACTCAAAATAACTAAATACTCTGTGGTATACAGGTAAACAGGAACTTTATAAAATTTAAAAAAAAGAAGTATTTGGATAATCCTAATATAAAAGTAAACTGTTCAAAAATCATGAAAGTTTTCCAAACTTATTTTATGCATGAGAGATATTTATTTGTAAATATAAACATATATGTGTAGCTTTAATTTATCATCTGTAAGAATTTTACAATCTAAGAGGAATAAAAAGAGCTAATGATTTTGGCTTATAACTTCATCTAATTCAAGAGTTTGCTTTTATGAAACTTTTGGATATTAACAATTCATTTTACTGGGAAACACTATCAAGAAAATAAAGGTAAATATTAGAAATTGTCCTTTCTATTTGCTTGACTGAAATTCTCAAAGCTGTAAACAACCACATCTGCTACCTTTATACATTGTGTTAACAAAACTGAAAATATGATTAAGTTCATTCAGGTCAAGCAAGACCCAGAAGCAAGAATATGTTATACTATTCCTTCTGTAGTTGTAATAAATTGTACCTACCTTTGTTGTCTTACTTTGACTGGACATATCAATGTTTGAAAGTTTGACTCTATGAGGTGGTTCATACCATGTTCTGGAATTTCCTTCAATACTCATTGTTCAACAGACTCTTTACTGGTCTCTACCACTAGACACAGACACTATTCTTTTCTACTCATGTCTACTGAGATAATGCAAAAATTTTTCTAGCCATTTCTCAGTATCTCCAGGAAAGAAGATTTCCTTTCAGAACCAATATTCATCAGTTCACTGTGAAATTGTTTTCTACAGCAACAGTTAGAAAACATTTCGCAGCTCTTCCTGACTCGACTTCCCTTGGTAAGGTGTGGTCAAATTTCCATTCACTGCTTATATGAGAACAATAATACAACACACACACACACACACACACACACACACACACACACACCCCACACTCACACAGGCACAAAACTACAAAGTCCTGCAACCCCAACAACAAACCTGCACAAACCACTCTCATTTCTTAAATAATGCAATGTTTAAAGTCATCTGGAGGAATTCTGGAGAATAGTTACTGTAGGAGCATAGTTAAATTAAGGATAGCTCTACCTCTAAAGAGTCTCACTAAAGCTTGAGAACCATAAAACCATAAAGGAACAGTAGCACAGGGAAAAAATAGGAAACTGTCCAATCCAGCTTTGTAAAACAATCCAATATATATGGTTGTCATTTGAAAGAACATTAGTGAAAAAGTTACTTCCACAGACCTGGATAAGTTAACGGCAGCTGCATCTTGGAGAAGTCCACAGAAGCAAGGCTAATGACTCAAGAAATCTTCACCACAACAACAGTCTACCTTAAGTTAATTTTCCCTCCTATATAGTGTTTCATACTATCCCCAAGGCTATATATTGCTAGAGGGCAGGAGGAAGTAATATGCAAATCCCAGTTGAGTATACCTTGACTCTCCCCCTCTGGGGCTGTTTACAGCCTAATTGCTGTGATAATTAGCTGCCTACTATGCCCAAAGTGTTCATTATTTTTATGTCCTTATATATTTTAGTTAATACTTCTGAAATTTTCAGGAAATCTTAGATGTGTCCAAATACTGATTTCATTGTTTTTGGAGCATTAGGAAGAAGGCCAAGAAAGTGTCAAAAATTTTGGGCAATTTAACATTGTGAGCCTTCCCTAGTATGTGTAGAACATTGTATAATGTTTGATTTAACACAGTAGGCACATAACAGCATAGTCTACTGCCAGATACAAATGTTTAGAGGGACTTTTGGTAAGCAATCATATTCATTATAGGAAAACAAAATTGAACACCTAGTTGGGGTCCATGATATCCACATTGACAGACTTGCAGCCATATTTACAGTAAACAAACATGGGTTATATTCATGGAACTAGACTTATATCTAAATGTGTTTCTCTGCTTTTATAATACGTCCTCTTGGTTTGATAATGTCATTAATTTTGGATGAATAGCTACCTTAGTAACAATCCAAGCAGAAGCCAGTATACTTTTATCTGGTACTACAGAAGTCAAATATCACCATCAGATCTGTATCTCAGTTGGATTTATATGCTCCAAGCAATCATGACTTATCCCCTTATATTTAGTACTATTTATATCTAATCCACTGACAATAGCTTATTAATACATAGTCAGTAGGACTTTGCTGTTGTGCAGCTTTTAAGAAGCTAGTGACTGGACCATGGTATATTTCAGTAACCCTGTGGTTTTACTTACATGTCTTACAAACATGGCAAGTTATTCCCTTCAAATTAATTACCAGTTTTGCTTGCAGATGGCCTTTGATATGTTTTCAGTACTAGATGGTATCTTTATACAGTGGAACTCTTACAGAGGGTTATCAGAATTATCAATGGTTTGATATTCTCTGTCACAAAAAAGGGCAAATTGGAATGAAGTCATCATATACTGGAATCATTAAAAATGAAAAAGTTATCACATTATACATATAATGAAAACATCTCATTTGTCCTGTTTCCTCCAAAGAATGAAATTATAGTAGATAATATGTATATTCCTTCTTTTTACAAGGGAATCTTTCATTTTTGACATTGTACTAATCCAACAATAATTATCTCCCTATCAAGAAATTACCTTGAGTTTTAGTAGAGACAGGTGTTGAATGAGCAGTGTTGAAACTCTAATTCACTATGGGAACTCAAGAATGGGCCCAGTGATTCATGTACTATGATGAAGGTATTAGACATATGGAAAGGAACAGAAAATTATTGCGTAAAATGTCTTAGTTATGTGTCATGTTGACATGGGTTAGAACTCAGATTATTAATATAGATTGGCAGCTTGATAGAATCTAGAATCTCCTGAAAGACAAACCTCTGCTTATTTCTATGAGGAAGAATTTTTATCTTGCTATTTTAGGCAGGAAGACCAATTTGTAGGTAGTACCATGTCTTGTACCTCAGACTGAATGTAAAGGACAAGGGCAGTGCAGAAATAGCATTGTACCTGTAGCTTCATGATGGTGGAAACATTATGACCAGCTGTGTCACCTGCCCTGCCATGATGAAATTCATTACAAAATGAGCCACAATTAACTGCACCACATCAAAATTGCTTTTATCACTGAAAAATGGAATTTGTACAAATATCATCACCCATTAAACACTAGTGTTCATCATCTTGAGGCAGTTCCCAAGAACAACTTTGACCTAGGCAGCTTGTATCATTTGTGCTCATCATGAGGAAGTAGGGGATCAGGCCATTCTTGTCTGCAGATATTTGCCATTTTACCTGGCTACTTGATAGAATCTAGAATCTCCTGAAAGACAAACCTGGCCCTGTGGCCACATCCTGTTTATCAACCATACATGTCTGCTGAAAGGGCCCAGATCTGGGAGGGCAATAGCCACATTTAGTAGCGCTTATTTTTCATGAACAAAAAACTCAACTTGATTTTATGGCTTAGGTGATTCTTTTCAATGGTGTCATACCCTGTATGGTAACAGGGATCCTACCCCCCCATGACAGATTTCTCAATATAAATGTACTCTATATGACATGTTTGGTAGAGATAATCGCTCACTCTTAGCTTAAGCTAAAGCTATTCCACTTTAATGTTACTATGTCTATAGCTATATCTTGCTGATCAATGTCTGTTGAATTCCACAATTGTTATTTGTTATGAATTTATGCTCAGTTAGCTGAACATTCAACAAAGCAGTAGGTTTCAGTGTGTTAGTGGTGATTCAATACATCTAGAAATTAATTGGGCTAGTCAGCAGTGCTCTGTGGCCATACACACCAGCAGCAAGGACCATTGAACAAATAAAATGCGAGTCAATTCCCATCAATGGCATCTCCTTAACCACAGCAGCAGGTTCACTGCTAAGTCATGTACCTCCTCCCGTCTTCAGTGAGCTGTACTCTCAACATTCTCATATCTAAGAAATGTATTAGTGTGACATCTGGCCCTTAGTCAAACTGTCCTTCGAAACTATGCTTTAAAGCTACGCCAATCTCACACCATGCTTTTCTTCATGGGTACCTTTTCCATTCATTTTCTTATTCACTGTGTTTCATTCACTTTAGCACTTTGCCAGCCCAGTTTTCACTCTAGGCATCATTATTCTGATCTTCCTAAAACTTACTGTTTCCTCTGCTGTGTTCTAGGAAGGAAATATTCTGATGAGAAACACTATAGTCCCTCTCAGATCTTCCATGCATTACCATGTTAGTAGACAGAAATTCACTTGCTACCAGGCACACTGCAATTGGAAGCTGGTGACTGTCTCTGAGAAAACATTCCACAGTCTCCCAAACCCTGTTCAATAAAGTGATGAATTGAGCAACAAAGACATCTGACATGAATGGAATTTAGCTAGGTTTCTGGCTAGAGAAACATAGCTCAGATTCAACATTCCCTATACCACTAAATATTTCAATGCTGATCATTAAAATTTATTTGTAATCTCTGTTGTTCAATACCACAATACAATATGGTAGGACATAGCTGCTATTAAAGCCTCAGATTGATTTAATAGTTTGTCTAGTGTCTTCACTTATTGTAAAGTTACTACAAATGTTGCCAAAAGTTTGTTGTTCATAAAATGTGGAGGTAAAAATTAAATCAAAATCTGAACAATGAATAAAAAAAATGTCGACATAGAACAGAAAATAACATGTGCTCTGTCAAGCAAAATGTGAATGTTTCTGTTCCACATAGGGTTCAACAAAAACAGTTTCTGCAAATGATTTGAAACTTACAGAAATTCTTCTATATTTCAAATAGAGCTCACCAGGGACTTTCCAACTTTTGAAAATGAATAACTTGATTGTCATTGACCAAAAAGGAAATAGATAACTAGACTATTCTTTCCAAGCTCAAAAGGTGCTTTTTCTTCATGCTCTTCAATATGGACTTTCAGCCAGCCAACACCTGAAGGTGATTGAACTGGAGAAAACATCATAGTGTGTGGAGTTCCTATACTTTACTCTTTCCTCCCTGGTGCATTAAAGCTAAAGTACTCATAAACCTGTTGGTTCAGCTTTCCATTTCCCCAAAAATTTTGGAAAAGTTTGCTAAAAAGAAATTATATTTACTCATTTTAGTTATACAAACCTGTTGATAGAGAAATTTATCTAATAGAATTAAATCTTCATTGCATGCTACCATCTTATAACTTATCCAGGGATTGATATCAGGTATTTTACTTTTAGATATGAATGTGAGAGAATGTTAAGGGTATATTCTTAGGGTCAAAGTAACCAGTCAACTAAGTTCCCTCCATTATCTACTATAAAGACAGGTTCTGTGGGGAATATGATCTTAACCAAAGGTAGTCCTAGCAGATGTTGCTGTTGCTGGGTCCATTCTTTGATAGTTGGAGACACAAGATTTTTCTACATTCTTGTTAGAGGTTGTCAGTAATGCATACACATATAAATGACACCAAATGGGTTCCATAGGCATGTAAGATTTGCAGCAATAGTGACTTAAGAATAAGAGATTATGGATTTGAGAAGGAGAAGGGAAAGATTCAGGAGGTGTTTGGTAGATGAGAAGGAGGAGAGAAAGGAAGCAAATACAGTATTCATATGAAATTCCTAAAATTTTAGATATAAATTAATAATATAA